AAGCAGAGAGGCTGTTGGCTTTATGCAGATGCCGAGTGGTTCTCGTGCTGCTTTGGCTGAGGCCTGCGTGGCTGCTGGAAGCTTTAGTTCAGCATCTCTCAGATTTTTCCAGTCTGTGGCATGAAGGAACAATTCCTGCAAGTGCAGAAAGATTTTTTTTTTTTTCTGGTTGCTGCACCTGTAAGATGAAAGTAAATGCTTGCTTGCTGTCTAGCCACAAAAATACTTGCTCACCAGCCAGCGTGGTTTCAAAGGGAGAAAGAAGTATCTCGGTTTTGCGAAAAAGCTGAGTACAGAATGATGGTATAGAGAAGTTGGCTGTGTCTGTGTCACCCTTAAACCCGGAGTAGACATTTTCCGTTACACTCTCTACTCAGCTCTGCTGACCAGTTGTTATAATGAAATGGTTTCATAAAGGGATGAAAACAAAAGCTATCAAAGCCGGTAGCATCTTCAGCCTCCTTTGAGTGATAGACCTGTGGTATTTAAGACCTAGTGTTCCTGCATTCTGCAGTATTGGTTTTAGACATTGGATTGTATTAACTTTGACCTCATGTGACTGAGCTAAACTAGAGGTGGCCGAGGAATTCAGTCATTTATTCACTCAGCAGGCAAAGTTCCATCTTACAGGTGGTACCTCTGCCTAAGTTTTCTCAGGTGTAGCGTGAACAGATGATGACATTTCTGTTGGAATTGCTACAGTTATTTCAGGCTTCAGAGGCATGAGTATCTCTGAGATGAAAAAAGTGTAATTTATCGAAGCAAACTATGAAAGATGGTATTTCTAATTTTGGTACTCAAGCTGTAAGTCACCCATGGTACATAAATATTGCCTAGAAATTAAACCAAAATGTAATATTTTTATTCTATTTTAAAATATGTTTATGTAAATTATTATTTCCTGACATCTCCCTTATAAGCAAACGTATAGCTTTGGGAGGTGTAAAGATGATGCAGCCAATGGGGCTCTGTAGTTAGGTCATTTCACCGGGAGAAAAAACCCCAGTCCTAGGAGAACTAATGACACATTTCCGTGACAAACAACACAAAATATGTAAGTGTTCTTTTAGACAAGAGTGATTCCTAATTCACATGGCTTTGGCATTTGAAGCTGAAGAACATGGAGACAGAGTGTGAGGAGTTGTGGCACGAGAAGCTCTGCACAAGTACTTGCCGTGAAAGCCTTGACTCCGGGATGGTGGCAGTTGCCAGCGCGCTGCTTTTCCGCTGCGTGGTCAGCATGTAACTGCGTGTTCCAGCCAAAAATCTGCGTCAGTTCACTTCTAGAGAATGTAACAGATCATATTTTCATCTTGAAGTGGAAAACAGACCTCCTCCCTCGTTTTTTCTTTAATACTGTTTTTGAAAGAAGAAAGAAGGGAGAGGTGGTTCAGAAGGGAGTTGAGATTGTGATGAAGGAGAGCAGCAGAGAGGATTGTCTGTCTTAGCCAAGTTCCACTGTGGACAATTCTATCCTTGGCTCAATTTGGGAGATTTAAATTTAATCCTGTCCTGTTCCTTCTCTTACCTGCCCCACACTTTGAAGGTAGAAAACCCCTATGGAACCTTAGAGACTGTGAAGCAAGTGGGTCCTCAGTCATCTGTGATGTTTGGGATGAATTCTGCTTCTGTTTGTATTCTAGACCGTGCCTTGCACGATCACAGGTTGTTTTCCTGTGTAGTAGGGCAGTATTTAACACAGCTTAGCTTTAATTTTCATGTTGTTCCCTAAGCCTCAGGTTAGAGGTTGAGAGCTGGTAGGGTATAACGTGTACTCTTTGCCTTAAATAACGTGGTCGGAGTGCTAAATGCTGCTAAATAGCAGTGCCTGGTGCCGGCGCGGGTTGTGCTTCGCTGGAAGAGTCGCTCCGTCGTACGGCTTGCCTTTGCTGGCTGTACCCAAGAAAGTTGCTAAAACCTGAAAGCTGGCACGTATGCTGCGTGGGAGGAAAAATGAGATCTCCCTCCAGTCTGTCCAAGAGGAATAGGGCGTGCTGCACTGCAAAGCTGCTCGTACAGATTAATCCTTCCATTACGCATCTCACTGCTGCGGAGGGTGAAGGGGGGTGCTGACCCTGTTCTTGCTGGCCTTCTGTAGCAAAGGCAGGCAAACGCTGTCCCTTCAGAGAAAAACCAGGCCAGCCTTTGGGACAGGGGATATTCCTGCGCAGGGGCCTGTTGAAAAATGTAGTCATTGCCGTCGATGGAATTATTTTTCCATCGCGTGTGAAAAACATTTCTCAGCCAATGAGAGCAGGGCAGGAGAGTACAGAGGCGTGGGAGAGCAGGTTTATGGAGTTTTTGTTTAAATTGGTGTTTTAAAGCAAAGTGTTATATGGGGAGGCAGGAGATCTAAAGCAGTTGTTTTCTTACATTTGTTTAATCACCTAATCTAAAAGGCAGAATTCCATGTCTGCAAAGGCTGCTTCACATGGAGGGGGAAGGTGCTCTTTTTGTAACAGAGCACTCTGCTTCTTGCAGTTGCTGTCTCTTACAACAGAAACCTCTCGCTTTTTGGGCGTGCACTAACGGCGTAGCCTACAGAGACCTCCTCAAAGCAGGTTTTCGTGGTATGGACAGGGGTCAGGTCCATCTGCTGCGCACAGCCGCATGGTCTGCATGGGGCTGCTCATGCATATCCAGTATATCATTTCAACAGCTTGTAACATCAGGATGTGATTTACTTAAAATGTATAGCTTAAAGGCTTTGATTGTGCTAGCTAAAATAGTAAGGTTAGGTTTAGGATTTGGTAAACAACAGCGACAGAGCTCATTTTGAACTGGTGTTACCCCATGTAAGGAATTATTTAATTTATCTCTTCTTCCTTTGGTTTGTGTTTGAAAGAAACAGATTTCTGAGCCTTTTGGAAAATAGTCATTTAGAAGAGATCTATCCAACTTCCTGTTTGCCTAACAACGGTTTTCTCTGCTGTTCATAGCAATGTAGTGAATCTGTCTAAACAGCTGGGAGGACAGTGCAACCACTCTAAGATAAGTGACAGAAGGTTGTGCAAAAGTAGATATATTTCTGTGTCCTCTGTGCTCGGGGAGGTACCAGTGTGGTCACTGTAGCTGGAGGATAGGGCAGCGCTGTAATCTGGTGTGGTTGTGATCAGAAAGCTCAGTGACACAGAGCCTGCCCTGTAGCTAGCAGCGATGGAGATGTACAGGTGATAGCAAGGGCAAAAAAAGTCTGTGAGAGGTTCCCAGATTGCGCATCTCCAGCATCTTAACAGCGCCTGACGCAGCGCTTGCGCAGTGGGCCTGGCTCACAGGGGTGCTGTCGCAGCAGCAATGAACTGCACGGCTCACAGCATCCCCTCAGCTGTGCCAGCAGCGAGAGTCTTCATTTTTACAATCACTGGCTGAAAAATCTGATGTATATTCTTTGAGAGCTGGAACGGCCTGGGTAGAGTTTTTGTCCTGTAGAATACCCCACTGCTCTAGTGCTTTTAATTTGCAGAGGTGTTTGCTGTGATTTTTCACAGCAGCTGAAGGAAGTGATAGGTGTGTCCATATCGCTGGGATTCTCGCTTGGATTTTGGCTG